AAGGGGAGGCTGGCTCTGCTGCTGCCCCCCACTAATCTGCCTCCTTTTCACCCCCCTCAAGGTGTTCTTCGATCTGCGGATCGGCGAGGAGGACGTGGGCCGCGTCGTCATCGGGCTCTTTGGCAAGACGGTGCCCAAGACAGTGGAGAACTTTGTGGCGTTGGCCACCGGAGAGGTGAGGGGCTAGTGGTTGGGGTGGAGGGGTGGTCCATCCTTTGGTCTTACTTTGTTTTCTCCCTCCCCACCCCCAGAAAGGATTCGGCTTCAAGGGCAGCAAGTTCCACCGTGTGATCAAGGACTTTATGATCCAGGGAGGAGACTTTACCCGCGGAGATGGCACCGGAGGTAATTTGTCCCACGCCAGCCCAGGGATCCAGCCACACTCCCAACCCACTGCCTGCCCACCCCTGGGGACCAGTGTGGAGCTGGAGCACGGTACCACAGTGGGGACGAGTGGGCACAGCTGGTAGAGATGTGGCCTTGAAGCAGAGCTTGGTGCTGGGGAGCACTGGGCGCAGTGAGGCTTGGCTGGAGGGTACCTGAGTGTTACCTGTGTAACCTCTGCCCTGGGAGGACCTGGAGCTCCTCACTGAGAAGACTTTCCTGTGCAGCAGCTGGTGCACCTGCCCAGCGTCCTGACTGCGAGGACACATTTCATCCAGTCGCTGCAGAGCTCAGACCTTCCACCAGCACTTTGCAAACATTAGTAGAGTTGATGATATCAGCATTTGAATTCGTAACCTCTTACCTGACCTCCTCGTCACGCCTCAGCCTACAGCCATACAGGATCAGATCCCACGGGGGCATGGTCCGTCCTGCCCAGCTGGTGGGATGCTTTTCTCTCCCTCTGGAAGCAGGGAGCTCATGGTTCCCTGCAGCCCTGCGGTGTTGGTCATTAGTCCCTCTCTAGATGTGCTCGTCCACCCCACCCAGTCACCCAGTCAGTGGAGAGAGCTGCCATCATCACCCCTACCCTGACATATTTCCGTGAGAGGAACGCAGTGAGATTTTTTCCACCCCCTTTAGGAAAAAGTATCTATGGGGACCGTTTCCCTGACGAGAACTTCAAGCTGAAGCACTACGGCCCTGGCTGGGTGAGCATGGCCAACGCCGGCAAGGACACCAACGGTTCCCAGTTCTTCATCACCACGGTGAAGACGCCGTGGCTGGACGGCAAGCACGTGGTGTTCGGCAAAGTGCTGGAGGGCATGGTAAGGGGGCGGTGGGGTGGTAAGGGGGTGGTTGATTCCCAGAAGGGGAGCAGGATCCAGCAGATGCTGCCCAAGCAAGCTGGCT